GCCCAAAATGTGTATTTTTGTCTTTCTTGTGTTCTCAACCACGTTCATGATCCCCCAAAAAGGCTAAGAAGTACTGGTGGAGCCAGGCGCAGTGGCTCACGCCTGTAATCCCAGCACTTTGGGAGGCTGAGGTGAGAGGATCACCTGAGGCTGGGAGTTTGAGACCAGCCTGACCAACAAGGAGAAACCCCGTCTCCACTAAAAATACAAAAAAAATTACCCAGGCATGGTGGTGCATGACTGTAATCTCAGCTACTTGGGAGGCTGAGGCAAGAGAATCGCTTGAACCCAGCATGCGGAGGTTTTAGTGAGCAGAGATTGCACCCCTGCACTCCAGAGTGGGCGACAAGAGCAAAACTCGAACTCAAAAAATAAATAAAAATAAAAAAATTAAAAGAAGTACTGGCTGGAGTGCAGGGGAGGCAAATGGGCTCCCAGACTCCATTGGAGGCGGTGGCACTTGGAACAGCCATTTTGGAGAGCAATTTGCCAGGGTCTTAGAAGACAGAAATGGGCATATGCATCAGCCAGGCAGCTCCACTCCTGGGTTCACAGTTGAAAGAGCAAAGAGTGATGGTGGGGGACATTTACAGCAGCAAATAACTGTAAGCCTCACATGTCCGTGAACAGCAGCCCGACTGACTAGTGGCCACATTCACGCCCTGGAACACCATGCAGCAGAGAAAAAGAATGAGCTGGACATACCCAGAATTTATTCATTTGACAGATATTTATTGAAAACTACTATCTTTTCAGCACTGTTCTTAGCACTGAGCCTACAGTGATAAACAAGACAGATTAGGTCTTGCCTTAAGAATGTACATTTGGCCAGGTGAGATGGCTCACACTTATAATCCCAGCACTTTGGGAGGTTGAGATGGGAGGATCACTTGAGGCCAGGAGTTGAAAATCACCCTGATCAACATTGTGAGACCCCATCTCTACAAAAGAATAATGAAAAAATTAGCTGGGCATGGTGACGCACACCAGCTACTCAGGAGGCTGAGTGGGAGAATTGCTTGAGCCCAGGAGTTGGAGGCTGCAGTGAGCCACAATGGTGCCACTGCATACTCCAGCCTGGGCAATAGAGCAAGATCCTATTTTAAAAAACAAACAAACAAAAAAAACCAAACAGACACAGAAGAAAATTTGAGAAAGTGTGATAAATGCCATAAAGAAAATAAAACTGGAGTAAAGGAAAGATGATGGGGGAGGGGCTGTATTAGACACTGTGGTTGGGGAGGTCCCTGAAGAAGTGACATCTGGGCATGGACCAGAATGAGGGAGACTGGGAGAAAAGCACACAAATGAACGGGATGGATAGCTAGGGCACAGAGCCCAGGGAGAAAGCAATCTGCAAAACAATGCAAAAAGTCTTCACTTAAACACATATACATCATTATCGAGTTAGATAAGAGTCTCCAGGGCCAGGCGCAGTGGCTCACACCTGTAATCCCAGCACTTTGGGAGGCCGAGGCAGGTGGATCACGAGGTCAAGAGATTGAGACCATCCTGGTTAACATGGTAAAACCCCATCTCTACTAAAAATACAAAAAAAAAAATTAGCTGGGCATGGTGGCGCGTGCCTGTAATCCCAGCTACTCAGCAGGCTGAGGCAGAAGAATTGCCTGAGCCCAGGAGGCAGAGATGGCGGTGAGTTGAGATCGTGCCATTGCACTCCAGCCTGGGTAACAAGAGCGAAACTCCATCTCAAAAAAAAAAAAAAAAGAGTCTCGAAGGGTAGATGCCAAATTCATGAAGGTAACTGTCCTGAGAGGGCAGAGGAATAGCCAGGACTAGGACTTGCAGCCAGCTTCCACCTGCCTCTAATATTTTACATTTCTAATATTTAATTATTTAACATTTTAATGTTTTAATGTTTAAAAGGTAAATATGGCTGGATGCGGTGGTTCATGCCTGTAGTACCAACACTTTGGGAGGCCAAGGTGGGAGGATCGCTTGAGGCCAGGAGTTCGAGACCAACCAGCCTAGGCAACAGAGGAAGACCTGGTCTCTCTAAATATTAAAAAAAAAAAAAAAAAAAAAAGCTGGGCGTGGTGGAGAGCCTGTAGTCCTAGCTACTCAGGAGGCTGAGAGGCAGGAGGATGGTTTGAGGCCAGGAGTTTGAGGTTGCAGTGGGCTATGATCAAGACACTGCACGCCAGCTTTGGCAACAGAGCAAAACTCTGTCTCAGACAAATAAGTACATTTTAAAAAGTAAATATACTTACACAAAACTTGTGAAATGGCTGGGCACGGTGGCTCATGCCTGTAATCCCAGCACTTTGGGAGGTCGAGGCAAATGGATCATCTGAGGCCAAGAGTTCGAGACCAGCCTGGCCAATATGGTGAAACCCCGTCTCTACTAAAACAACAACAACAACAACAACAGAACACTGTGAAATGAAAAAAAAGGAAATTTAAATTTACCACGGTGAAGTAGGTGGCTTCCAGGGCAGTGAAGGCACATACTGCCTCTCACCGGAGCCAGTTTCCTGGGGCAGAGGTTCGTCTCGGGAGGGACAGTGTAGGGTCATGGTAGCCCAGCCAGTAGAAGCCCAGAAGCTTCTTGGAGGAGGTACCTCCATTGCTGAACCTGAGATTCTCTGGCCCAGCACCCCAAGAATAGACAGGGGTGGGCAGACATGTGTGCAAGGTCCCGGAACAAGAGGAGGTAAACAGAACCAGAATTCCAGACTCGCAGCTGAACCCGGGTTAACTGATCAGCCTCTCAGCACCGCGCCCGCATCCAGCCCCTTTCCACAGCGGTTGCTCTGCTGGCCAACCCTGCCGTTGGGGGCAGGAGAGCAACGCCACCTGCTGCTATAAGAGGGAAACGCAACTTTCAGCGACCAACAGGTTACACCCTTTAAAACCCAGCTCCTCTTCCTTAAATGACCAACCAATGCCCCCAACTGCGAATCTGTCCTGCACCTCCTTCCCAGTGCCTGGCAGGGCCCTTAGCACTGCATGATCGGGTCTTCTCTGCAAGAAGGAAAGATTGTTTCAGGAGAGGCCGATCATCTTCACTCTTTTATTCCAGCCCAGCGGGCATAGGAGGAGTTTACTCACGGAAGACAGTGGCATCTCACCCTTGCTACAAACCTTAGGGGAACACAATCCATTTGACAGCCTGGAGGAAGTCTCAAGGGAAAGGACAGAACTGCCCAAGGTCACACAGTTAATGAGTAGACAAGCTGAGGGGAATGAGTAGACTCATTCCACTGGGGATGGAAGTGGAAGGAGGTCACCATATTTGAGATAACTTACGCAGTCTAAATAAGTAGCCGTTAGCATGCGCTCCCCGAACAGCAGCATCATCTGGGAACTCGTTAGCAAAGGAAATTATCAGGCCCTGCCCCAGATCTCTTGAATCAGAAACTCTGGGGACTGGGTATGGTGGCCACACCTATAATCCCAGCACTTTGGAAGGCTGAGGCAGGAGAATCACTTGTGCCTAGGAATTTAAGACCAGCCCAGAGAACATGGCAAAACCTTGTCTCTACAAAAAAAAAAAAAAAAAAATTAGAAGGGCATGGTGGCACACCTGTAGTCTCAGCTACTCAGGAGGCTGAGGTGGGAGGATCCCTTAAGCCCAGGAGGTCGAGGCTGCAGTGAGCCATGATTGTGCCACTGCACTCCAGCCTGGGTGACAGGGCATGACCCTGTCTCAAAAAAAGAAAAGAAAGTGGGGTAGAGCCCAGCAATCTGGGATTTAGCAAACAAGCGTGAGACCCTGAACTGTTGGTCTAAAGCAATTGTACCCCCCCTTTTTTAAAATTAAACTTTTATTTTGGAATATTAGATTTACAGAAAAGTTGCGGAGACAGTACAGACAATTCCTGTATACCCTTCACCCAGCATACCCCAAGGTCCGCGTCTTACTTCACCGTGGTACATTTGTCAAAACCGAGAGACTGAAATTGGTATATTAACTAAAATTCAAACTTTTTTTCAAATTTCCAATTTTCCCACTAATGTCATTTTTGTTCCAAGATCCAGTCCAGAATACCAAACTGCATTGAGGACACTTTCCCTTTTCAATTCTGTTACTGCTCACCTCAGTCACCTTTCCCTGGGAAAGAGAGTGGGTGAGAAAAGCTGTTGTCCTTATTATTGAACTAGGGAAACTGAGGCTTAAAAATGCCAAGTGACCAAGTTCCCTCAGAGGGCAGTGAGAACACGGTCTGCCTTACTCTGTTCCCTTTCCCTGGAGACTCTTGGTTTTTGGAAGCCCCTCTGGAATGTCCTAGCTGGCCTAACTCCGTACCACCAGTGCAGACAAGGAAGTACCCCTACTACAGAGGGTCCAGCCCTTGGAGAGACTCACTTCCTGCCCCAACACCTCTTCCCCTAGACCCTGAGGGATAATGTCTTAGTGCCTTCAAACTTGGCAGAGTGAGGCCCCATGAGACAGAGAGAGAGAGAAAGGGAGAAGAGGGAAATACTTTTGCCTATCCAAAATTATTTGTGACAGGTGAAAAATGGCCACAAGCTCTTTGTCGTTCCCCTTATCAAGACATGGAGTCTGTTTCTCATCCATTGAATCTGGGCAAAGCCTTGTGATTTGCTCTGACCAAAAGAACTTTGCAGAAGTGACATTGTCCTAGTCCCATTTCCAGGCCAAGAACCCAAGAAGTCTTTCAGCTTCTACTCTCACTCCCTTGGAACCTTGAAGCCATCATGTGAATAAGCCTGAGCTAGCCTGCTGGAGAGGCCACATGGAGGAAACCAAGCAACTCCAGCCAACAGCCTGTCACCTGCCAGACAAGTGAGTAAGGCTATTCTAGATCATCCAGGCCCAGTTGAGGTAACAGCTGACCTTAGCTCCATGAGGGACCCCAGGTGGGAGCAGGAGAACTGCCCAGCTGAGCCCAGCCCAAATTGCCAACCCACAGAATTGTGGGCAAATAAAGGATTTGTTTTTAGCTGCCAGGTTTGGGGATGGTTTGTTACACAGCAGAAGCTAACTGGTATACAAATCCACATTTCTCTCATGGTAATGGGATCTCAGATTTATTGCAGGAGGCAGTGTGCTAGTCTCAGTAGATGGAACATGACCGATGTACTCAATCATGAAAATTCTGTTCCCTGCTGTTTTAGCTTTCTCTGCAGCTAGAGGTGCAGTGGTAGCTGGCTTGAACCAAGGGCATCTAAGTGAAAATATGCAGGAGGAGAGAGCAGGAAACAGGCTTCTAACTGAGGTTTTACTTTCTGATAGAAGGTGACAGGTCCGGCCAGGTGTGGTGGCTCATGCCTGTAATTCCAGCACTTTGGGAGGCCAAGACAGGCAGTTCACAAGGTCAGGAAATTGAGACCATCCTGGCTAACATAGTGAAACCCTGTCTCTACTAAAAATAGAAAAAATTAGCCAGGGGTGGTGGCACATGCCTGTAATCCCACTACTCAGGAGGCTGAGGAGGGAGAATAGCTTGAACCTGGGAGGTGGAGGTTATAGTGAGCTGAGATTGCGCCACTGCACTCCAGCTTGGGTGACAGAGTAAGACTCTGTCTCCAAAAAAAAAAAAAAAAAAAAAAGGTGACAGGTCCAGCTAGTTTAGCCCTTCCTCTTCCTCCACCCCTCTTTCCTTGAATCCAGACATGATTCTTGGGGATACAGCAGCCATCTTGGGACCATGAAGGAACAAGCACTGAGAGCAAGGCAGAAGGATCTGAGATGTGGCCCTTATCGTCACAGAGCTGTTGAACCAACCGTTAGCCACCCATCTCCGGAATCCATGCTATGTAGAAAACCCATCTTCAGCTTGTTTAAACCACTGCAACCAAGGCTTTCCTTGCCTCACAGCTGAATGTAGTCCGTGTAAGAGGTTCGATATGTCTAGAATTTGTCTTATATTTGTCTATACATATATAGACAAAAATGCAGAGGGATCCTTGTCCTTGGGAATTTGGAGCTGGCAGTGTGTGGCTCCCCAAGCCCATTTCTGTTCTCATTTCACCCTCTCAGTAATGCTTCAAGGGTAAGGCCCTCTCCCCAGGTTCAAAGAAAGTGTACCCCTACTATCCCTTCTCCATGGCCCAGCCTGCTGGAGGCCAAGTGTGTCTTCTGGGCTCTTGAAGGTGGCAGCAGGTGCCAAGGAGGCTGCTACAGCAAGTCTGGTGTGGATGCCCCCAGGTACACCCTTAGGTCCGAGAGAGTGGACTGGACAAGCTTGGCAGGGATAGTCTCTCGCTGCAGCTGCTGGTAGGCTGCATAGCGGTGGCAGCCGCCGAAGGAGTAGAAGTAGTCACCTCCCTGGGACCCTTTGATCCAGAGGACATCGATGGGGGGCACGCTGTCGGGGTCCTCCTGGGGAGAAGGGGCACAGAATCAATGGACATTGTACAAGGCTTGAGAGTTTGCAAAGCAGACTTTGTCCCCCTGTGCTGAGCTCCTTACAAGGTGCTCACACTGGACTGAGACACAGCTGTTAAATATCAGGAATTTTGTGAGCTGGTCGCCATCATCTTGTAGCTTGAAAATGAGCCATGGGAGAGTATTTACGCCAGAGAAATGGACAGATGCTACAGATCAGGATTTCTCCCACCCAGACCCCAGGTTGTCAGACATGTATCAGTATACCACATGTGCACTAGCCATCGGGCCCCGCAGACCCTGGGAATACGGTACAGCTGGAATGAGACAGAATCAGGCCCTGCCTTCAGGGGGCTCCAGTCTAGTGAGAGATGGAACAAGAACTAAATATTAGAGTGACAAATGCTATGACAATAACACAGGCGACAGGACAGAGATGGGGTCCAAGAGGCCTCTCTGAAGTGAGAATGAAGCAGAGCACTTGGAAAGATAGGTGGGGCCAGGCGCAGTGGCTCACACCTGTAATCCCAACACTTTTGAAGGCCAAGGCAGGCGGATCACTAGAGGTCAGAAGTTCGAGACCAGCCTGGTCAAAATGGCAAAACCCTGTCTTTACCAAAAATACAAAAATTAGCTGGGTGTGGTTGTGCATGCATGTTTTCACAGTTACCTAGAGGCTGAGGCAGGAGAATCACTTGAACCTGGGAGGCAGAGGTTGCAGTGAACTGAGATCGCACCACTGCCCTCCAATCTGGGCGACCCAGAGTGAGACCCCATTTAAGGAAAAGATAGAGAAGTGGAATAGTTCAATGAAGAGCCTGACTGCCTGGGTTCAAATCTAGTTCTGCTACTTAACAACTTTGTGATCTTGGGCAATTAACCTTTTTGTGCCTCAGTTGCCCCATCTGTCAAATGGGATGGAGATAACAGATCCATCCCATAGAGCTTTTGGGTTAAATGAGTTAATATATATAAAGCACTTCAAACCATGCCTGGCACCCAGAAAGCGATCAGTAATGTATGCTGTGTATGACCTGAGGGAAGAACATTCCACGCAGAGGGAACAGCAAATGCAAAGTGCCTGAGGCCATAGCACGTTCACTGTGCAGGAGGCATGGCAAGGAGGCCAGCGTGACTACAGCGGACTCCAGGGCTCAAGCAGTGGTCAGAAAGGCCAGTAGCAGCCAGACGGTGCAGGTCTGCTTTTAAGAGCAGTGGGTGGGCCCTGGAGTGTTCGCAGCAGGGGAGGGTGACATGATCTGATGCACATTCTAGAAGATTGTCACAGGAGAACAGACTTGGCAGGCTGTACGAGGGCACAAGGCAGAAGGCAGAGGGGAGGACTCCGTGGGTATTTGGCAGAAGATGCTGGTCTGGACGATGGTGTGGTGGGGACAAGGAGAGGTTTGGGACACATTTAGGGGGCAGATCCGAGGGATCTTGTGGAAGGGGTACATCCAAGGGCCAGAGAAAGAGAAGAATCTAATTTGACTTCCTGCTAGGGGCCTGTGCAGCCAGGTGGAGAGTGGGTCATCCTCTAAGTAGGGAAAGCCTGGGGCAGGACAGGTGCAGGGTAGAACACTCTGGGGAGACCCCATTAAGTGTTAGCCGCCTGAAAGGCCTCCTGCCGCTGGCCCATGGGTTCTCTCTCATGAGTCCATAAATGATTATTCAGCAGTAAGGCACAGCAGTTGCAAGCCTGAGCAACTGCTCTGGGACCCGGCACACCTGACTCGATCTCGGCTCCTCTCCACAGCAGCTGGAGCACCCAGCCCTCTGAATACCATTCCTTACCTGTAAACTGGGAATAAGATATCTAGAGAACTGCTGATGAAGAGTCAGTGAGCTGATGCCTATGAAGAGTTAGTGAAACTCTAAGGAGGTGCAGCTGTGCCAGGCAGACCTTGTGCTGGGTACTGAAGGCATGATGGTGGTTGGTCAGAATGAATGGCTCTCAAAGATGTCCAGGTCCGAATCCTTGGGCACGTGTTACCTTACATGGGAGATGGGACTTGGCAGATGGAATTATGGTAAGGATTGTGAGATGGGGAGATTATCCAAGGTTATCTAGATGGGTCAAATGGCATTATCAGGGTCCTTAAAACTGGAAGAAGAGGTCGGAGTGATGCGATGTGCGAAGGCCTTGGCCTGATGTTGCTGGCTTTGAAGACGGAGGAAAAGGCCATGAGCCAAGCAGTGTGGGTAGCGTCTGGAAGCTGTGAAAGCTGAGGAAATGGATTCTCCCCTGGAGCCTACAGGAAGCAGCGTAGCCCTGCTTGATTTGAGCCCAGTAAGACCCATTTTGGACTTCTGACCACAAATAAATCTGTGTTGTTTTAAGCCATTGACTTTGTGGTAACTTACAGTGGCCCCAGAAAACCGATACAGGAGTATTAGTAAAGCAAAGGTAGAGCTCGTTCTGGCCCTCAGAGCACAGAAGGCAGGTGTCTCAACAGGACTTTAAAAGAGTGGGCTGTAATCGCGGCACTTTGGGAGGTCAAGGCGGGCAGATCACTTGAGGTTTGGAGTTCAAGACCAGCCGGGCCAACATGGGGAAACCCCATCTCTACTAAAAATACAAAAATTAGCCAGGCGTGGTGGCGGACGCCTGTAATCCCAGCTACTCCAGAGGCGAAGGCAGGAAAATTGCTTGAATCCGGGAGGCAGAGGTTGCATTGAGCTGAGATCTCACCACTCCTCTACTCCAGCATGGGGGACAGAGCGAGACATAAGAAAAAAAAAAAAAAAAAGAAAAAGAAAAACCAATGGGAGTTATGCTGGTGGGCACACAGGTGGCTGCAGGCCCACAGAAGCCCCTAACCTGGTAGGGATGGTCAGGGAAGATCTTGATATTGAGACAGGAAGACCAAGGAAGAGTCAGAAACAACAAGGAAGAGATAGAAGAGATATCTCTCCTATCTCAACAGTAGGAAAAAACCCAGTGGTGGACAGGGCATGCATGGCAGATCCCTTCCCATCTCAGATAGCCAGGTACTGTGCTACTGCTGTGGGACAAGGTCCTCACCCTGTGGAGCTCCCATGAGGTTGGGAAGACAGACTATAAAATGCAACACAAATAAATGTATAATATAATTTCTGGGGGACGTAAGTGGTATCCTGAAACACATCTCAGGCTAAAGGGAGAGCTAGAGAGGTCAGGGACCCTGACCAAGAGCTAGAGAGGTCAGGGACCCCGATCAAGGAGGCCAAGAGCTAAAGCAGGCAGGGGAGCAGGCCTTGTGTTTGTCTGGGGAGGTGGCTCCAGGCAGTGAGGACAGTAGTGTAAACACTAGGACTGAAAGGGGTGGTTGTAGTGGTGCTGTGTGGGGCTTAGGGATCTCACGTGCTCACCTTCTGAGCGTCAGGGGGAAGGGGTCGCAATGTTGCACAGGCTTAACCTGACACCTGTTCCTGCAGCACCCCCCACCCAAGTTCCTGCCAGAATCACTCCAGAATTCTCGAACACCCTCCCTCAGTGGTGGAGCTGACCCTTGACCTACCTCACTTCCCATTCAGACAAGGCCCTCCCAGCAGATACGACACATCCAGTTGCACTGTCACTGACTGTCATGGCCATGAGACCCCATGGCTTATCTCTGGGCAGTGGGGCCCAGCTGCCTGGGTGTGACTTCCAGCTGTGCCACTTTTTAAGCACCTGATCTTGGTCAAGCCGCTGAAATCTTCCCTTGCCTCAGTTTCTCATCTGCAAAAGAGAGATACTATCTACCTCATAGGACTGGCATAGGAAATTAAAGGACTTCCTGCAGCTCATGGGCCACTGCAAGCACTAGCCTTATAAGCGTTATCATCACTACTTTAATTATCTCGTCCAATTCCCTCCTTGCTCAAGTAAGGAAACAGCGGTACAGAGAGGCCCAACCACTTGCTCAAGGTCACACAGCAGATGCTAAGCTCCGGCTGAGCCCGGAACCAGTCCATCTCGTGTCCGTCGCGGCGACCTCCCTCCTCCGGAGCCCTCCCTCCAGCTGGCCGGCCTCCCTGGGGCCTCACCCGGATCGTGTCCACGAGGCTCTGCACCTTGGCGTGGTCCAGCACGGACGGCAGCGGCCGGATGAGCACGCTCAGCGGCACGTTGTGCACCGCGGAGATGCAGCCCGAGTGGATGCTGCTGCCCTGCGCGCCGCCGCTCGGCCCGGGCCCCTCGGGCGCACCCCGACCCGCGCCGGCCCTGCCCAGCGTTCCTCCAGCACGCAGCCCCATCGTCGCCGCCGCCGCCGCGGGACGCGCAGCCTCCCGGGCTTTAACTCCGGCCGGTCCGTACCATTCTGCGCAGCCGGCGGGGGGGCGCCGGGTCAGGGAGCGCGTTTCTCCCCCGGCGCCGCCGTGGTCCGGCCTCCACCCAGCGGTCCCCAGCCCGACTCCGGCTCCGCTCGCTGCGTGCTGCCGAACTCGCGCGGGGCTCCGGCTCTCCACCGGGGGGCGCCTTCCGCCTCCCCTCCGCCGCGCGGCGTCCGGGCAGTGGGAGCGCCCGGGCGGGCTGACTCAGGGTGAGTCTGCAGGTCGCAGGGCGGGAGGGGCGCGGGTGACGCACCGGCCGGGGTGACTTAGGCCGCGGGGGCGGGGGCGGGGGCGGAGAGCGCGGCGGACCTGCCCAGCCGGGATGAGTCGGCAAAGTCCGCAGTGCGCCGCCGCCCCGCTGCTAGGGCTCTTAGCCAGCGAGGTGATCATCCCCACAACGGTTCCACTTCCAAGCTGCTGCTGTGTCTGGAGCCGTTCTGAACGCTTTGCAGGTATATTAACTTATTTAAATCTCAAAACAACCCTGCAAGGAAGGTATGATTGTTATTCCCATTTTACAGAAGAGGAGACTGAGACACAGAGGTTTAAGTAATTTACCCAAGATCATGGAACTAGTAAGTGGTCGAATCCGCGTTCAAATCCACTCTGGCTCCAGAGTCCACTCTCTACCCCACCGCTGGCTGCCTTGGTGCAACAGGGACTTCACACGGAGCCCTCGGGAATCGCGCTCACAATATGTGGGCCCTGCCATCAAGTTCCACACTATATCATTACAGCACTACTAGGAAGTAGGTGCAGTTCTAGACCCGCTTTTCCAAGGTCAGCTGGAATGAAAGTCAGGTCATAAGAATCCAAACTATGGGACCACTTAACCACCAACTCCAAGCAGGAAGGTGGGGGATCCCAGGCTCGGCTGAAGACAAGCGTGTCTGGTTTGCTTGTCTTCCTTCTCACCCTGGATGGCACGAACATGGAGGAATGCACACTTACCCTGCCAGCTGGAGAAAATTCGAGATGGAGGAGGGGCGGCCAGGGGTTTCTACTTTGCCTCGCGCCAGTTGCTGACACTTTCTGAACTCCGTCTGTAGAATGAAGTAATGCTGCCCATCACTCAGAGTTGTGTGAATTCAGAGTGCTCATAGTGTTCTGTGAACTGCATGACATCCATGTTGCTGTTGAAAATCATTTATTTGGGGTCTTAGTCTCTTAGAAAACATTGAGACCAAGACTTGAGACTTTCCCTTTCGAAACATAATTCCCGTAAGCACCTAAGTGATACTTTGTTTTAAGAACTGACACCCACACCTCAGCACCGCCCCTCCAAAAAAAAATTAGAGACTTTCAGCTGGGCGCCGTGGCTTACGCCTGTAATCCCAACACTTTGGGAAGTTGAGGTGGGTGGATTATCTGAGGTCAGGAGTTTGAGACCAGTCTGGCCAACATGGTAAAACCCCATCTCTACTAAAAACACAAAAAAATTAGCCGAGCATGGTGGCATGTGCCTGTAATCCCAACTGCTCAGGAGGCTGAGGCAGGGGAATTGCTTGAACCAGGGATGTGGAGGTTGCAGCAAGCCAAGATTGCACCACTACACTCCAGCCTGGGTGACAGAATGAGAGTCTGTCTCAAAAAAAAAAAAAAGAGAGAATTTCATCAAGAGGAGGGAAGTTATCCCCTCTATAACATCTTCCTCATTACAGGAGGTAAGAATGGCAGGATAACAGTTTCTAGAGTGGAAAAGTAGAGATCCGGCCTGATTCTCTCATCATGGTGTGCCCCGGGGAGGCCTCATCTCTTGGCATCAAATTCTGTGTGTTAAGATATATATGGCCCAATTCAAAATGGCTTAAGCAATATGAATGTTTTCTCACATAAGATGTTTGGAGGTAGGCGTGTCCAAGGTTGGTAAAGAGGCAGTTGAACAATGTGATTAAAAACCCCGGTTCTGTCTGGGCCTGGTGGCTCACACCTGTAATCCCAGCACTTTGGAAGGCGGAGGCAGGCAAATCACTTGAGGCCAGGAGTTCGATACCAGTCTGGCCAACATAGTAAAACCCTGTCTCTACCAAAAGTACAAAAATTAGCCAGGCATGGTGGCACGTGCCTGTAGTCCCAGTTATTCCAGAGGCAGGAGAATTGCTTAAAACTGAGAGGTGGAGGTTGCAGTGAGCTAAGATCGTATCACTGCTCTCCAGCCTGAGCAACACAGTTAGATGCTGTCTTGGGAAAGAAAAAAAAAAAAAAAGACTCTGGTTCTGTCTATCCTTTTGTGCCATCATCCTCAGTGTTCTGTTATTCTGGGGAATGCCCTCATGGTCCCAAGATGGCTGCTCTAGCTCAAAGCATCACATCACTACATGTGAAGGTCCAAAAGTGGAAGTTAGGACATCCCTTTGAGCCTCTTTTTAAGAGTGAAGAAACCTTTCCTGGCTGGATGTGGTGGCTCGCACCTTCTGACCTTACACTCCTTGAGCCCTGAAGTCCACTCTAGTCACACTGGCCTCCTTGCTGTGCTCATCCCACAGCAAATGTGTCCTGGCCTCAGGCCCTTTGCATTTGCTGTTCTCTCTGCATGGAACACTATTCTCTCAGGTCACACACAGCATATATTACTGAGTGCTTTCCATGTGCTCAGCATGGTTTGATAGACTTTACATGTATTAACTCATCAAACCCAACAGCTCTATGAGATGAATCTGTTATCTCCATCCCCATTTGATAGATGGGGCATGCCTGTGGGAGCTCTGCCCATACATAAGCACATTTTGGAGGTGCCAGGCCATTCACTAATGGGGGCAGGGGCCGGCAAGTAAATACCAATCTTTCAGAGAGATGCTGTAGACCATTCAGATCTTTCTGTACCCTTCTGAGACCAGAAGTACTCAGCCCTATTGCTACAACTGACTTCACTAACACACCCTCTCTCCCACTCCTCCTGCCCCTCACTTCTGCTTCCAGGGGTCACCACCCACATAAATGACTTTCACTCACGTCTCAGACTTGCTATCAGGTAATGAAAACTAAAACAAAAGGGAACCTTGATACTGGGTCATCCCCTATAGTTCTGTACCTCACCTGGGCTATTTTATTAGATGTGTGACCTTGGGCCAGTCACCTGTCTGTGCCTGTTTCCTAATCTGCAAAATGGATATAATGCCACCTAATTCACAGGGATGCTGGAACAATGAAGAGAGCCGATGTTAGGTGAAGTCCTTAGAACCGTGCACAACACATTATAAATGCTCAATAAATGTTTGCTGTTTGATTGGACTTTAAATTATAATAGAGCTTGAAGGTCTCTCTGTGTCTTCGCTTTCAGACTAGTCTTGATGTATTTGTCAAGACTTTTGTCTGCCAGTGACAGAAAGCCAATGTGAATTAGCTTAATGAAAATGGGGATGCTTGGCTATTCCCTTGACCAAGGTGAATCCAGGCCTCAGGGGAAAGTAGGTTGAGAGATTTCTTTTCTCTGCCCCTCACTCAGCAGAGGGATTATCTCTACATGTCAGGAACATGGCTGTCTATAGCAATGATATTTGGCTTTAAATAAGGGAAACATGACAAGAGGGACTTAATACAACTTAAAATGTTTCTTCCATTGAAAAATAAAAAGTCTGGCTGGGTGTGGTGACTCACCCCTGTAATCCCAGCACTTTGGGAGGCCAAGGCAGGCAGATCACCTGAGGTTGGGAGTTTGAGACCAGCCTGACCAACATGGAGAAATCCCATCTCTACTAAAGATACAAAATTAGCCGGGCGTGGTGGTGCATGCTTGTAGTCCCAGCTACTCGGGAGGCTGAGGCAGGAGAATTGTTTGAACCCTGGAGGCAGAGGTTGTGGTGAGCCAAGATTGCACCATTGCACTACAGCCTTGTCAACAAGAGTGAAATTCTATCTCAAAAAAGAAAAAAAAAAAAAAAAAAAAAAAAAAAGCTAGAGGCAGGAAGTCCATGGCTGGGACAACTGCTCCATGATCCTTAGTGGCATAGGTCCTTTCTATCGTTCTGCTGTAATTTTAGAGCAAAGTGTTAATTCTCAGGGTCACCTCCTATTCAATATTGCTGCTGAAGTGCAAGCCATCTCATCCAAATTCCAGCCTGGAAAGAGGTGGAGCAATGGAAAGGCAAAGGGTAGGATGGTTTCCTTTTATAGGATGCTATCTCAGAAGTTTTGTATAATACTTCCCCTTGCATGTCATTGACTGGAAATTGGTCATGTGGCTACCCCTGGCTGCAAGGGCAGCTGGTTATTTTGTCTTCATTCATCGTGGCAATGTGCTCAGCTAAAATTGGAGTTCTCTTCCTCAGGAAGAATAGAAATTAATAAGTAGCTGGCAATCGGAGCCATAGCTCTCAAGTTACAGGCCGTATGGCACAGAGAGAGGGAGAGAGAGAAAATGTCCAAGTTCTAGTTAGATGCCCACATATGAACAAACCAGCTATGGCCTTGGGGGACAGAGACTTTTTTTAAAAGCATAAGCCACCATTATTTATTATAATGACTTAAAGGTATGGAATTAATTTAAAGATAATTACTGGTCACCTGCTATTGGCCAGGCTAGATAGACCCAGGGGATTTTGTGATGAGCAAAAAGACTCCGCCAGTCTCTGCCTTGTGAAGCTTACAGTGTAGTGGAGGATTCAGATAATGACCAAACAGTCACATGGAAAGTAAAATTGATGGAAAGTGCTGCAAAAGAATGGCATGTGGTTCTGAGGAAGTGTCTTAGTCATTTTGGGCTAAGTTGGGCTAAGGTATTCTTCTGCCACAGCAACACCATAGACTGGGTGGCTTATAAACAACAGAAATTTATTTCTCACAGTTTTGGGGGCAGAGAAATCCAAGATTAAGATGACTTTGTATCTCCCCAACATTCATATGCTGAAATCCCAACCTCCAGGTGATGGCGTTGGCAGGTGGGCCTTTGGGAAGTGATTATGTCATGGGGTTTATGAGGGCAGAACCCTCATGAGTGAAATTAGTGTCTTTTTTTTCTTTCTTAGAGACAGGGTCTCACTCTGTTACTCAGGCTGGAGTGCAGTGGAAATGTAAGGAAAACTTCAAAATTTTTTAAAAATCAGGAACCTGGTAATAGCTAAGGAATTCTGAACAGAATATTGGTAGATATACGGATGAAAAAGGACATTCAAATGAGAAAATGAGGAAGATATTATTGGACAGTGAAAAAAAGGCCATCTTCTTATGAAATGGCAAAGCACTTGACTGAATTATGT